CCCTACATACATTTCTGAGGAGCTGTTACATCTCCATACATCAGTGTCTCCTGTAAAGCTTTTGTAGATGTTTTCTGTCTTTTCATGGCTTCTGTCTACATATACTTGTCTGCCTTCATCTAGTTTCCCTTGATCTCTGTCAAGTTCTGCTTTGAACACTTGGATAATTGAATCCTTGACAGCAGAAAGGATTGAGCTGATCCTAACAAATATGGTTAACTGCACTTAAGCACTGGAGTAACTTACTCTGTTAGCAATTATAACTTACATGTGCATTTATAATATCTCTTTATACTGGTATCAATTAATGAAAAATGCTTTGTTTCTCTTGGTCCTTCTGCCTGTTGAGGAAACCTGTCATCACTGTGGCTAGGAAATCATCTGGGGGTGGAGGAGTTTTTTTGGGCTGAGGGAGAAAGGAGCAGTATTGGGGTTTTTACCAGGAGAATTCATCTTGCCTTTGCACTGTTACCAACTTTTCCTTTGACTGTCAACTGATCCCATGCTGTCTTTATGCAGCTAAAGTGGTTCCTCAGCAAATCACACACACTTCCCCCCGGATCCAGTCTGATTACACAGCAGAGAGGAGTAACCTCATTCCCCTCTCCAGTCACCGGGCGTCTCCAAACCCAGTGGCAATGGAAACCAGAAATGACAACAGGTGGGGGAATAAGAGCTCTGTGGCTGTTTGGGGGTGGCCCAGAGGAGGGGGTGAGCTGCTGCCCTGTGTGTAACCCTCGCTGTGTTTGGTGCCCCTAGGCAGTCGGTGCCTGTCCAGTTCCAGTACTTCTTACCGACGTACCCTCCCTCTGCCTACCCTCTGACTGCACACACCTACACCCCCATCACCAGCTCCGTGTCCACCATTCGCCAGTACCCAGGTAAGAGCAGACAGATCTTGGGCAAGCCAGTGCTTTGTTCAGTTCTTCCCTTGTGTGCCAGCTTTAGTGGTGGGGGAAGCTAAGGGACTTAAGCTTGATCCTGACAGGTTGTCACCAAAAGCCTTTGACAGCATGTTGGCTGAAGGAGAGCTCGTGGGCAAGGGGTGTCAACCTGCTTCAGGGGCCTGCTAAATACAGCTAGTAACAGTTTGCTCAGGAGTTTCACATTGGATATCCAAGTGTTTGCATCTCCATAAGTAAAAGGTTTTTTTGATTCTACAAAGAGGAAGGGTTCAGCTCCTCCACGAGTGTGCAGTTTGAGAAAGAAACCTGAACCAAACATGGAGAAAAGCTGCATTGCAGACTTTTACATCAGTGTTCCACTTGAAAGAACAGAGAAATTTGTGTGTTTGAACTGTTGCAGTAACTTGCAGACAGTCAGAAATTTATGTGTAATGTGAGCCCACACAGTCAGCTCAAACTTGGGTTGTTCTGTGACAAAATTGGAAGCCCTTTTACCTCACTTGAGTGGTTTAGGACTGTCCTCTTTAATGCCTTTAATTTCCACAATCCAAATGGTAGAAATTTGCATGATCTGGATTTTCATGGAGTATCTGTCTCTGCTGGCAGGATGTCACCCTTGAGCAGTGTAGAGGGGATTCAGAAGGACTTGGAGGTGACAAAGCCCATTTGCTGAACGGGGAAGTATGATCAGTGAATTAATATGATCAGTGAATTAATGAGCTACTGGGGCCTGTTCTTTCTGTTGTTGAAATTCCACTGAAAAGTTGCAAGTCTTGCTTTTAAGTCATGTCAGGATTTGAGATGGGATTCAGGATGATTAAATGAGTCACGAAGGGGACAGCTGAGCTTCTTTTCTATCTGCCTGCACTTTGGCTGAAGGTTTTAAAGGAGGATGTGTAGGTGAGTGGTGGTACTTGGTGTTGGCAGTTGTGTCTGGGGAGTGGTTATGGAGCCTCTGGTGGAAGGTGGTTGGAGACTGGCAGGGGTTCCAGTTCTGGCAGCATATTGGGGTGATGGTATGCTAATGCCAACTCTTAAAAATCAGCAGGAGCTCATGGACAGAGACATTTTGCTCGTTAAATTGGCTTAAAGCCTCTGTTGAAGGTACTAATTATGGCAGGAACTGGTGACAGCTCGAAGCAGAGGACTGAAGGTATCTGGAGGGACATGCACCTTTGCTGAGCACAGCTGTGTGAGGATAAAAGTACAGAGGAGGCTTCTTAAAAGATCACTGAGATAAGGAGAGTTAATGCAGATTTCTGAGGAGCAGTGCTGGCTTTGGCTTTCCAAATGCTCGTTGTGTTCTATGTAGTGTCCCAGAAGGATTCTGTTGGGTAGGAAGTTCTGCAGCAAGAATGTTTTGTGTAAGATGTTGCACTAAGAGAATTATTGTGTGATACTTCATCCAGAAGCCATTTTTGAGGACCTGGTGATGGGCTTCAGGTTTTGACAGCTATTTTTGGAGTGTCTTTATCATCACAAGAACTTGATCAAAATCCTGTGGCAAGGACAAAACCAGCTTGTTGTGTGCTGAGAGGGGTCTCCATTCTTAGCAAGCAAGTCCCTTGCTGGCAAGTTCATCCTTGGGTTCTGGGTATGGCTCCAGAAATAAGGGATGCTGTTCTGTAAGGTCTGGAAATATGGAGATCTGGGAAGTGCAGGTACTCTAATGGTGTATCATTAAGTGCTGCCCAGGAGAAGTGTAATAGGCTGTACAGTTGATCTGGAAAGATGGAATTGCAGCTGCTTAGAGCTGTAAATTCACATAAATGAACTGAACTTGTTAGAACAGATGCTTCGTTTGCAACATTGTTTTGCCACAGAGAGATTTTGTGAGTGTTTGAGCTGTGGGACCTTGCCTATAATTGCAAGCCCTGTTCTGAGCCAGATTGTACTCAACATCAGAACACTTTGTCTACTTGTGCTAAGGACAGATTTTTTATGATTATGTGGTTGGGGAAAGTGTGTGAGGAAGTAAGGCCTATTTTAAGGTACGTACCCTCAAGACTCTGCTTTCTCTGCTTGCCTTTGTACAGTCAACGGTTTGGAGTTTTTTAGCTGCCTTCTGAAAAGACATGGCTTAGGATTCTGGCTGTGTTTTTTTTTCAAATACTTTTTTTAGGCAGGAAAAATACCTAAAAATATTGATACTTAAAAGCATTGTAAAATAAGACACTGAGCAAAAATAACATGCAGTTTTCTGAGACTGAGCTGGGTACAGAGATGTAATTTGAGTCTGACTTAAAGTTAAACTTGATCCTTTCTCGTTTGTTGCCATTTGAAACAGAAAATGGAATGGAGAGATAGAGGAATGTTTAGTTCTTCTGGCAGACAACCTGGTCTCTCCACTCTCTAAGCTTACTACTGCAACAAGCAGGCTGGCCAATTAATCTTTCAAAGCCAGATAGTCTTAGAGTATTTGGGTGCTCGGTGCTCTGGGGAGCGGGGTCAGTCTGCCGGGCGGGCGTGACGAGGTGCCTGTGTCCTGCCCCCAGTGTCAGCCCAGGCGCCCAACTCGGCCATCACCGCTCAGCCCGGCGTGGGAGTGGCCTCCACCGTCCACCTCAACCCCATGCAGCTGATGACCGTCGACGCCTCTC